GCGATGATTTGATCTTGGATGTAGTAAGCGACATACGAAGAACGGGCCCCTGAACGACAGACGACGACAAAAACAAACTGAATAACAACATGAAACAAAGTAACACAAAAAACTAAAAAAAAATAAGAGCAACAAACTGCAAACTATAAATAAAAATAAAAACAGCATCTTTATATTTGATTTAAAAAGTTCAATCATAAAATATGATTTTTTTCCTTTTGTTTAACAAGTAAACGTATTGTTTACACTGTAGATGCTGCTTAGGTTCAGACCATGTTTTTGTTTTTTTAAAGATGCGAGTAAAACCAAACCTCAGCTGATGTTGTTAGCCTTTGGATGGATTCACGTCACACACACTGATGATAGTTTGACGCTTTTTGAATGGAGTTTGGTGCAGAGCCTCAGCAGCTGCTCTGAATATGAACTCATCAAAGAACCAAAGAAGCTTTGTGTCTGATTTTGAACTTTGGAACATTTTTAGGTTCAAACAGATTCGGTGTGAACGAACATGTGACCTCAGTGCTGTTTAAATTCTGATTTAAAATAATAAACTTATTTAAAATCAAAGGAAAACAGATGACAGCTGATGTTTGTCTCTGTGGAAGCTGATAAATTAAAGAACGAGTGTTTGTTTATGTTCAATTAGATTCTTATAATAATTCTTATGAGCTGTTAAAGCGTCGGCTGCATGCCCGTGTCCAGCTGTTAGTCTGGTCCCGAGTGTCAGTGTGGGATCAGTGAAGTCCGCTCTGATTGAAGCGTGGTTCTTACTCTACATTGCTTCTTGTCGTCGCAGCAGTCGCAGATCCCTGAAGCCCAGTCAGCTTCCACCGAGGAAACGAAGAGCTGAGGCTGCGTCATCACCGGCCGGCTCATCGTTCACCTGACGACACACAAACACCTGCACTCAGTCACACCTGTGGTACCCAGTCGTTAGTGATCATTTATTAACAGATTCCATAATCACCACAAGTGTGCGTTAGAACAAGTTATTCACACGGGTCACCGCCTCCCTGAGTTAGCAGGGCAAAGGTCAAAGTTTATGACAGGACATGAGAAAAAGATTGAACCCTCTCCTAGAGTTAGGGTGAGGAGCTCCAACCTGAACCGCTGCTCCACATCGAGAGGAGCCAGTCGAGGAGGTTTGGGCTCCTGCTGGGCGTTTGAAGCATGTCGTACTGACGGAGGCCCCGGGACAGAGCCGGGACTCACGGACAGATCGCAGCTCCTGACTAGTGTGAGTGAGGGACCCTGGGCTCACAGCTGCTCCCACGACCCAGACACAGGTGGCAGGAAAAGTATAGCCTGGTTGGAAGAGCTGCCAGGCAGCTTGACTTAGGCTTGCAAAGCTGCACCTGAACTAACCACAAGAACCAAAGATCAGAGAGCTGTGCATGGATGCTGCGAGCCTCAATGACCTGCAGCTGTAAAGAAGAGTGGACCAAAACTCGCCCACAGAGATGTGACGCACCGATAAAGTCCCACAGAAACCAGCACCGAGACTTTATCTACAAACTGCACTGTCACAGGAATGCAGAGAGCCGTGTGAACAACGGGAGAAACAACAAGAAGAAACATCCGAGAACGTCGGCACTAACAGCCACAGAGGAGAGAAGACAAACCTCCACGGTCCAAAGAGTCAGGTCCACTTCCTGTTATCTGGAAATGATCACGCAGCTGTCATGAGTTCAAGCTTTTACTTTGATATTTTACAAACAGGAAATATGAGGTTACGTTAAACTATGTACACAAGTAACACAAACAACATTAAAAAGTCTTATCAAATCCAAATGTTGCTGATGATTTTTGAGAAAATATGAAGCTCGAGGTGAAACATCACCATCTACACCAGGACTCGAGTGTCCGTGATGCAGCACAGCTGATTTAAATGACTAAATTATCTCCTCAACATGTCCTGAGGTTCTCCAGAGGCCTGGTAATGAACTAATCATGTGATTCAGGTGTGTTGACCCAGGGTGAGCTCTACAGAGAATCCCCCATGTTTGTATCCTGTGGACGCAGTGAGCATGAATGAAAATACCAAATATTTCGTCACACGCTGTACAGTCATCATCGTCATCAAGCTCAAGACTGTGATCAGTGGATATACACAGACACGGGTAAAATAAGACAATATTTGCATGGAGTTTGGTGTGGAGTTCTACCAGCTGCTCAGGGAACATTTTAAAGGTATAACAACCAGAGGCGGAGCCAGACATTTGAAACACCCGGGGCTTAGCCCTAAAGGGTGGTATGCATGTGGGATTTTTTTTTTTGTTTTGGGGGGGGGGTTTGAAATGACTGAAAGATTAATTGGCTCTGTTTTGAGTTTTGTTCAAAAAGAATGACTTCATATAGGGAAAAATATATATCACATGTGCAGGACACCTTAAACTAGTTTTTTAATTAAGCAGCGAGGCAGAACAAAGTCGGGCTGTATCAGGACACGAGGACTAAACCCCAATTCAACCAGACCCAGAACTGATCCGGAATTAAAACAGGACTACAACAGTTGTAAGACATATTTAGATTTTAATGCATAAAACATAATAATATAATAAAGTTTTTTATATTTGTGGAGCGAGGGAGAGCCAACATGTCAAAAACAACAAGAATGTTGTACTTTATACGAGATGTGCCACAAATTATTACTATGATTATAGTGATTAGGTCACTAACGGGCAGAGATGGGCAGTAACGCGTTACAAGTAACGCATTACTGTAATCCGATTATTTTTTCAAGTAACGAGTAAAATAAGAGATTACCTTTGCAAAAAAGGTAATTAGATTACTGTTACTTTCCCGTAAGCATGCTGCGGTACTGCGTTACTAAACCCGTGATTTTTTTAAAAAAAGCGAGTGCGACGTTCGTGACAACAGCTGTGTGCAGATCAACAATGGATCATATATCGAGTGCAGAGAGAGTATGAGCGTGCAGTGTTTAAAGCGTGGAAGTACTGACCTTACTTTGAGTTTGATTCCATAAAAAGTGACAAAAACATTAGTGTCCGCTGTGCGTGGGAAGAAAACTTCTTTTTACAGAGAAAAAACCCCTAAACTTCCAACAAGCACCGAGTAGCTACGACGTAATGGGAAACTCAGAGACACTGCCGTATCCTTCCACTGACCGCGGCACACCTGCACCAGGGTAAACCTCCGCCTACCCCACTCCTGCTTTACAGGTGAAAATAGAGCAACAGGACCGCTGAGTCTGTGACTTTATTTATTTTCTGCTGTTTTACTTGCATTTTAGAATAAAATAATCCTTTAATTGTCCCACAAGGGGAAATTTGTTTTGTGCATAAACACAAAAAATATTTTATTTTATGTGCAGAAAATAGGTTAAAATGTTCAACAATTTAGTTACTGATTACTTTTTTCAAGTAACTTGACCAGCACTGCTAACGGGCACCTTTGAGGTTACAGTCATTTGGCCACCAGGGGGCCACCTGGAGCAGTAAACTGACTCCATCCTCAGAGAAAATGTTTAAAGGATGAAAAACTAACAGCTATAAAAACTCTGATCAAAGAAGTTCAAAAAGATTTTCAAATATTTTATTAAATCTGAGAAAAACCTGAAATCATACCAGATCTTTCACAATAAGAGCTCATTTGTATTTACATGTTAGTCTGTTAACCACCTGCTGCCTACAGACCCTCCCACCTGAGGGAGATTTACCACCTGAAGCTCTCTGATTGGACAGAAATGAAGGCACAGCTCTGGCTCAAACTCCAGGAAGGCTGTTGTTATTCGTTATATCGTCTTCAGCCTCGGCAGCTGAGTGGGCGGAGCCTCAGAGCTGCAGACGTAGTTCTCGTATACGCCTTCGCTGCCGCTGATGTCTCCGTCCCCGGCGGAGCTTTTGCTGTGAAGCTGCACAGCAGACGACGTGGAGCTGAAGCGGGCCGAGGTGTCGAACTGCTGAAACTTCTGAGGGCTGAGACACGAGAGCCAAGAGTCAGCTGTCAGTAGCTTTAATTATTATTAAATGTCTTCATAGTTACTTCCTGTACAGAATAAAAGACTTCCTGTGGAGACGTTCTAGACTCATTTGTAGGATTATTTAAAGCTGCTGAACTTTTAGAGAAATTTGTAGAAACTATGTTGACTTGAAATTGGAAAATAAACTGCAGAAAAACGATCAGCGGAGCGAGCGTTAAAATAACGAGCGGGCTGCAGCTTCATGAGGATGCTTAAAGGGTCTGAAGCTCGCTGCTCAGCTTCCGCTCGTTTGAAATCGGCTGTGTGGTTTGTGGTTTTGGACACATCTGGTTTCAGTCTGAGCGCGTGTGAAGACGTTATGATGAAGCTGTATCGACAGACTGAAGGCTGAGAAATCGTGAACAGCTCATAGATGTCGTCCTTCAGTGCCGTCGATGATCGAGGCGCTGAGCCGCGTCATTTATTCAGGAGACACAAAGAAGAAGTCCATGATCATACTCACCGTCTGCAGAGCAGCTTCAGGCCTCCTGCTGCAGAGACACAGAGGACAGACAGACGTGAGCTGTGGGCGACCTCGTGCCCCTGTAAACATTTGAAAGCCTGTCACAGACACAGAAGGTCACAGTTTCATGAATCCAGTGTTATCAATCTGTTAGTGACCCGTGCGTGCAGCCGCCATCTACAAACCACAGAGCTGCCGGGACACGCACACCGTGACCGAGCTTCAGCTGTGCGAGCTGCTCTGCAGATATGAGCTTCTGATCATTACAGTTACTTTGATGGGAAGTTAGAAGGTGTCATAAATGGAGTCACGAGTGTGGAAACTCAACAGGGTGGATGTTTATCTGGATCCCATCCTGGCACCAAACGAAGGTGGAAACACATCAGGCTCAGTGCAGAACTAAAGCTTTGTTTTGGCTTCAGAGTTTCACACTCACTGGATGTGAAACTTCAGACAATAACAGAACTGAAAGGTTTTCCATCTCTGATCATCTGAAGTTAGGTCGTGACTGCGTGAGGGCGTCACTCGCAGCATTCAGTGTGGAGGTGAGGTTCTGACAGTCGTCTTTGATCAGTAACATGAGAAACAGCAGTGGGTCAAACATGTAACGCAGCTGTGGCGAGCTGAAGAACTCACCGATGATGAGCAGCAACACCGAACCCAGCAGCACGTAGAGCACAACGCCCGTCAGAGCTCCGCCCTCCTGCTTCTGCAGACACACAAACACACATCGGCAGTTTAACACGTCACACGTCTGTGCAGATTAGCAACACGTGAGCAGCAGACTGAGCTGATCCAAAACAACAAAAAGGCAAAGAAACAAAATCCAGAGCAGGAACTGAGGGGCGGGACTATTTATACACACACCGGGTAATCAGGACGTTCACGCTAAAAACATAATCACATGGGAGTAAAAGCAACCATTGGACCAGACTACGTCCATAATAAAATCTCTGGAGATCGACCGTCGGTGGCTCGTACCGTGGGGGGTGACGGGCAGTACTAGCGGTAACATCGATAACACGACAAAATTATAACCAGAACCAAAGACTCAAAGCACTGAACGTCCAAACCCAACCAATCAAAAGCATCAAACAATCAACGAGCACCAAACTCTTAGCCTGCCGTTCTCTGCCTCCGTTTTCCGGCCCCTGATGACAGGATGCGAAAGGATTCAGTGCTGCTGTTTCATTTAAGGACCTTTCATTAGTGCATGTGTAGTTGGACCGCAGACACCCTGAAGCCACAGCTGTTTGTGCACATCACTCTGTCCTTTGGGGACGCTCACATGGATCCTGCTGCTGGTACTCAGAGGAGAGACTTCTACAAACAGCTTCAGTCTCCAACATTAGACACGCCTGACATCAATAGAACAGGTTACTTATTGTGTTTCTCACAGGATCTCTCACCTCACTGCCGCTCGTCACACTGTGGGAGGAAGTCAGCAGGCTTTCTGTGGAGGTCAGGTGACCTGCAGGATGAGGAAGTGAAAGCAAACGCTTTAAAGGGAGTTTCATCAGCAGCCCGATGCTCTAGCGCAGGGCTGTCAAACTCAAATACACAGTGGGCCAAAATTCAAAACTGGAACAAAGTCGCGGGCTAACGCTAATATTTATTGAAATATATTTATTCCTCCAGATATAAGAATGAATCTTTTCTTATGGACACGTTTTGCTGGAAAACTGAATATGGAACAAGCAAAGCTTAATACTAAACAATACATATATTAGCTGTATAATAGCAGCAGGCCAGCTCTGATAGTAATTTGGTGTGGCTTCGCGGGCCAGAGTCTGACACCTACGCTCTAGAGCTTCACTTTAACCTGCTGATGCTGTATCGCAGACACACTGGGAGCCTGATGTCACAGCATCACTGGGACCATCAATCTGACAAATCAGGAGCTGCTGCTGTAAATATGTGACGACTAATAAAGTTTACTCCACAGAAATGCTGCTGTTTGTTTGTGTGTCACTGAGGAAATGATGTGTTTAAGCTGAAAGACCTGGTTTCATGTGCAGATTTGCTGTGAGCAGGACGAGTGTGCAGCGCGTTATAAACTACACACAGCTTTGGATCGGTCACCTGCAGTCTGAGAGGCCGCGGTGGTCTTTGTCGTCCAGGCTGTTGATGTGTGAATTTGTGGAGCTGGAACAAACACAAACTCGTTACCATCATGAACATAAAAGTTCAGGCAGACAGTTTAAACGAACGAGTGGATTCTGCTGTTTGATCCTCAGCTGCAGACTCACCTGGGACAACAGTCAGGTCGATGTGATGCTTCTCATCGTTGAACGGCCCGGGTATATGCACCCTGCAGCCGTATCGTCCAGCGTCTCCCTCTGTGAGGTTCATGATGGTCAGAGACACGTCTCCGTCCTCCAGTCGGCCCAGCATCTCATACCTGCTGGAAGCTCTGGTTAACACTTTGTCTCCATCTGTGGAGATCAGCGGATTGGAGCACTTGTTGAGCGGTATCTCTCCTCGCTGCCAGCACACTTCCACGGCGCCGTGATATTTCCTGTCATATTTACAGGGCAGAGTGACGTCCTGACCTGTGTGACCTTTGACCTTGCTGTCACATTCACAGACTGGAAACAGAAACACAGGAAAGCTTTGTTACATCAGATCCAAACTCTGCTCAGATCAGGTCAGCGTCTCGTCATCTTCACTGGTTTCACTGGTTCCAGTAGACTCAGCTGTGCAGCATCTCACACAGCTCCATGAAGTCGTCCCATCAACACTTACAAACCCTCCCAGACCAGTTCAGGCTGCAGACTGGGATGAAACCAGGTTTGATGTGTGTGTTCATGTACAGGTGACCCGGGTCTGTCCAAGTCACAACATGACCACACGCTTGTGTCTATAACCCAGCTGTGCAGCTGAGACTGAAGCTGAACAACTAAACTCACACAGCAGACTGACCTCTGACCCTGACACGCTCTGCAGCCGTGTTTGTCCTGACAGACACATCAGCAGGTGAGACTCACGCTCGTTTCTATAAAAGCATTTTCATTCAGACTGAGCTCGACCGCTCTGCACACAGAGTCACGTAGCGAGCGCTCCTCTGTGGCGCCCGCCCCCCGTCAGCTTCACTGACCTACACAGAGCAGAGAGCAGCACAGACCTGATGATGGGCTCTGCTTTAATGCTGCTATCAACGACAGAGACAGGAAGCTGCTCACAGTCAGACTCTTAGAGATCTGCTCATCTGGATTTAAGGTTTTACAGACAAAACTGAAGCAGAGGAAAGACACACACACACACACACACACACACACACACACACACACACACACACAGCAGTTACCTGAGAGCAGGGCGAGCAGCAGCCTGAGCTTCATGACGGAGCTGAATGCGCCTCAGAGCAGCTCCAACAGCTGCTGACAGTCACCACAGCTGCACGCTGCAAGAAATGAAGTGACGCGTAAAAACCAGCACCACACGCTGCTGCGACAGGAACATCCCACACACACACAGCAGGCAGGGGCCAATCAGAGAGCAGCTCTCTGTTTACACGCACACAATAATGTCACGAAAGTACATTTTAAAAAGGGCTCTGTAAACATGGCCGATCACTTTCATTCTGATGATCTGCAGAAAAATCTGGACACGAAAACCTGCAGACGTGACTACATACAGTGCAGACAGCCTGGACCCTCTGTGGGATCTGATCTCTGAATAGCTGCAGACCAAACTGTGGTTTGTTTACTTCCACAGCACGTCTCGTAGACATAGAGCAGAGAGCAGTCCTATCTCAGGTCTGAGAACAGAAGACAGGAAAAGATCAGGAAAGAAACAACTTCCCCAAACCAAAGCACCAATGAAACGAACGGTAACACAGGCTGATCGAGAGTAGCCTGATTAACATAAATGTGACTGACAAAAGCCAAAATAATTCCCGCTGATGTCTTTGTGTCAGCTCCTTTTCTAGACATTTCTATCCAACCAAAGTTGTTGCAGTCTGTGGTGGCAGACCGTGGGTGTGTGGGGAAGTAGGACCCAAAATGCAGGACTCTTCAATGCAAGCAATGCGTTGAGCCTCAGCTGCACGCTGCAAGAAATGAAGTGACGTGATAGGGTTGGGTAGGTTTGACAACGAGCTCACCCGAAACCTTGGCTGATTGTGACCCACACCTGTGTTCACACCTTGGCTCATGTGATTGGTCTGGGCTCTTATCGAGTAACTGCTAATGATGATAAATTTGATTCTTTTTACTGAATCGAGTTTTAATGAGTCACTCACCAAAGTCAGTCGGGTTTTTTGAGTCATTTGAGTCACTGAGTCAGTTATCCAGAGAGCGCAAAAAATGTACATTTTCACTCAAACTTAATTTGCTTCTCTTTTCATGTAAATCCTACTGCTAAGACGAGTGATTGTAAAAGAAAACAACTATTTTATAGAGCAAAAACATTAACACATTCTAAAGGAAATATTTATTTTTATTTTTTTATTAGTATTTTCCACAAATGTGTCAAATATATATTTTCTCATCTAAATGTCCACTGAGCTGTGAGCCAGGGGGCGGTAATGGACCTTAACATTGGTTGCCAACCAAGAAGAAGAAGCTGTGAGCCAGGAGGGAGGGGGTGAGTGAGTCACATGCTGTGTTGCCAATTTAGCGACGTTGTCGCTATATTTAGTGAGTTTTCAGACCCCCTAAAAAAGACGTGAAAGCGCGTATCGCTTTTACTCTCAACAAGCAGCGGGTGCTGTAACGCAGTCAGTTCTTC